GCACAAAAGCAGCCTCATTAAGCAATCCTTTAACAAATGAAAATTTGCCTGGTCTTCTCTTTGAAATAAGCAGAGGCCTGAACTTAGTAAATAAATAACTAAGTAAAAAATTTGAAAGACGAGGAAAGACAGGAGGCTTCAGAGTGTCTTCAGTGCAGTTTCCCTCTAGTATTCTTGTTAGAAAGTTACAGGTTTTGCAGTTTCAAATCCTCTTTCAGTTTCTGTGAAGCTAATGTTGCCAACATCTGCCTGCACTGCAGGCTGCTGAGGAGAGCTCAGGATAAGGATTAATAAGGATTAAATAACTTACTTCTCAGGTGTAGCCTCTTCTACAGACTCATTTTCCAAAGGAAATAGTAAATAGGAGGGAATGAACATGTCTTTGAAATTAGGAGCTTCCTGAGACCCTGCTCTTCCTGGGAAGGGAATCCTGCCCCTCTCCATGGCCCTGACCTTCCAGGCATCCAGGTTTGATCCAAGGCTCTGCCTGGCTGTTCCCACAAAGTCTGTGAGGTCAGTCTTAAGTCCTTCATCAGTGAGAGAGAAATGGACTGCAGATGTTTCATATCTCATCCAAAATAGACAGGGGTATTCATAATTGGTCAGACCATACAAGTATACTCATATTTGTGTACAGTCTCCCTCAAACCCACCCTCAGGGGCACCTGGCACTAAGCAGCAATTCCAATAGTTGCTCTTGTAGTTGTCTTCTCTCCCACAAACTGGTCATTGAATGGACAAAAACATTCATCCTCCAGCCAGGACAGATGTTTGATTAGATTTTTTTCCCTTGATCTATTCCTGGAATAATTTTCCTACTTTGCAGGAGATATTTAGAATCTTTGACCTATCAATCATTTTTATATTTTTTTTCCTTACTGAAGCTTCTTTACTGATGAGATTGCAGAGAGTATGACTGATAAACAGAAAAGAAGCATTTAACTGGCTATGGAACCTCAAGACAACTCATTCTCAGCATGGAGCTGAGTTAAAGAGCAGATAACAAAAAGCCATTCTCATTCTTCAGGAGCTCTGCAAGGGAAGAGAGAACAAGGGAACTAACACAGAGGAAACTGCACACATTTTTAAAAGTGAAAAAACCACAAACCTCAAGCAGTATTAACTCATAAATAAGAAAATTTTTGAAGTTCGATATACAATTATGATATTTTTCACTGTTATGTTTTCACAAAACAAGTGTTGCTGGTTTTCATTTGAAAACAATGTTAGTTTCCTGAGCAAACACACAAAAAGCAGGTGAAGACTCACCTATAAAGATCTGTATCATCATCCAGTGAAACAGCACAAAATGGGACATTCTGGCTGACAGAGACACCAGGGCAGCGAGTGGAAGCAGAGGAAACCAGATCTTATCCTTTCCTGAGCCTGAGTGAGTCCCACTGAAATCTCATTTCTCCATTTCCAGATTTTACACGCAGCAAGTGTTTCTTTTCTACGCTTCCGGATAGGAACTGGCCAAAGAGGGGATCTCCTGCTGTGCTCAGGGCTCTGCAGCCCCACTTGGGGCACTCTGGGCACTTCTGGGCCACACAATTTAAGGACATTCAGGTACTGCAGTGACAGAACCAGAGGACACAGTCTCAGGCTGTATTAAGGGCAATACAGTTGGATATTAGTAAAATGTTTTTTATGTAAAGAGTGATAAAGTTCTGGAATGGCTGCCTGGGGAGGTGGTGCAGTCACCATCCCTGGGTGTGTTTAACAAAGCCTGGATGTGGCACGGGGTGCCAGGGTTTAGTTGAGGTGTTGGGGCTGGGCTGGACTCGATGACCTTTAAGGTCTCTTCCAACCCAGTGATTCTGTGAGTTCTGTCAATGTGCTCAGATGAGGCCAACTGAGCAGGGGCTGGAATGAACACAGAATGAATTCTGTGATTCTGTGAATGTGCTCAGACAAGGCCAGCTAGCAGGGGCTGGAATGAACGTGCTGTGAGGAGCAGCTGAGGACTCCAGGACTGGAGAAAAGGCGGCTGAGAGGAGCTCAGAGCTCTCTGCAGCCTCCTGAGGAGGGGACATGGACAGGGAAATGCTGATCTCTCTGGTAGCTACTGACAGGACACATGGGGATGATTCTGAGCTCACCAGGGGGGTTTGAAGAGGACATTGGGAAGTATTTAGTGACAGGGCAGTAAACCCTGGAACAGGCTGTCCTTTTCACCTTTTCTCTTCCAAGGCACTCAGCATGGTACTATCACCAGAAATTTCAATATTCTATTTGCTTTGACATTCCTTGGAACTCTTAAGGCCCATTTCTGTTCCAGGGTCCTGAGTGGCAAGAACAAATTCTGTGCTTTTACACCCCTAAACATTTGGCATAGTCTCCCCTCAGACTTTGTCTTCATTTACACGTACTTAATCCCTCATTTTCCATGCTTCTTTCTGAAGACCCCTCTCTCCCCAGCTTCATTTTCTGTTTGCAAAGACAGCCTTGGAGGAAGTTGTTGCAAATATTTTTGTTGCCAAAACCACATCCTTCCCAAAGAAATGCAACATCATCTTCAGGAAATACATTTCACTCCTTCTGACTATTTTATTTCTTTCTGACCAATTGACAAATAAGTTCTCTGGAAGTTCTCTGAAACAGCTGGGTAATAAAGCAAAAGTAATTCAGGGCAGTAAGGTCAGGAATGAAGAATTGCAGATAGACAAAATTCTGTGCAAATAAATGCAGCACAGTGCAAATGAGTGCAATTTCAAGTTCAAATGATAAAATGACGGGCTGTTAACCAGGCATTACATTTTTAGTAATGAGATTTTGGGCTTATCATGATAGTCAAGCCCATGAAAATATCACCCTTCTGCTTGCTAGTACTGAAAAAAGCAAATAAAATGTTAGCAGTAAAGGCAATGAGTAAAATACCTAATTTGCTATATTCTACCAGGTACAGTTCATACAATGGCCCAGTCCCAGCTGCTCTGTGAACAGAACTAATGAAAGCTGAGGTTTCCAATATCCTGGAGATTTTTTCCCTGCAATGATCATAGTTTCTCCCATTACTGACCACCCAGCAGTGGCTGTGAGCTGATGTACATCTGATGCCAGTGCAGGGAGCAGCTGAATCTCACCTGGGGCACAAAGTTGGGTCATTATTCAGCTACAAATTCCCATGAAGCTTGTCCAGATAGAACTGGCAACCAGGAAAGGCCCAGGATGAACACAGCATCCTATCAGCTGTGTTTTTCTAGCAAGGCTGGGCCAACAGCAGAGTGCATTGGAAAAGGCCATCCAAAATCCAGGTGTGCTGGGAAGAACCACAAACACATGGGGCACTTTCTGCTTTTGTACTGCTGTCTGGTGGCTTCTTGCAGGCAGAAAAGGCAGAGGTGTCTCAAAAAAGAGAATTTTCAGCTCATCAGCTCAGTGTGCTGCCAGACAATCTCCTGATGGCTGAATGGCTTCCAAGTGCCACCTGCTTGTGTCTAAGGCTCATTTTGAAATGCCTGTTCCGAGATCCACTGACACAAGTGCAGGTAGTGAAAAGCCCAGGGAGCTCCTGCCTTTGTGGATGTGTGTTACACTGCATGCCCAAGGCAAAGTTCTTGCTCCACACTACTTTTGCAAAGTCTGCTTACCAAGCAGCTGCAGAGCTGAAAGATTTTGCAGAAAGATTTTGCTTGATGAAAGATTTTGGTTATCAGATACTCTAGAACTTTATTTTACATGAAAAACTTGCTGATGCAAGAATTAATTTGATTTTTAGTCTGTAATATTAATTTTAAAATCCTTATGGACAAGCATGTTTTATGATTAGGAATCTTAAGGCTGGCCCACAAACTCCTTAAGAGCATAAGTAGTTGAAATCAGATGATTTTGGAGATCCCACATGTTTAACTCTGACCCCAGAAGAGACTGATTACATAAAACTGCGGAAAGCAGAAATTGCTGAAGATGTTTCCTGAGAGCCAGTTCAGAGACCAGATCAGACTTCCTCCAGCTCATGGGCTGGAGCCTGCAGCAGCAACATGCTCAGCCAGGCAGAAGGAAAGCACTGACTGCAGCTGGGGCAGAGATTTGGGGTCAGTAATTGTTATTAATAGTCAAGTGCAAAAATACAGTCTGACACCAGCAGGTTGTTTCTGGATTCAGTACCTTCTCATACAAAGCTGTTGAGGATGTGAAGACAGAAAATGGCAGAGCTGGTTTTGTCCATCACTTTTCCTGGCCCTGGGATCAGTGATCACACAAAATCAGTGCTCCCACCCTTCACTCAGCCATGAATTCACCTTTTCAGCCTGCTACAACAGAGAGCCCAGGAGAACAGAGATCATGAGTGAAAATCCAAAGCACCCCAGGGTCACCTGTCCCAGTTTGCTTTCCTTTCTTCCTTCCTCAGCAGGATGAGCCTTTTCCTCCTTTGTGAGTCAGTGCAGAACCACTCACCTGCAAGACCCCACCTGAGGCAGACCCTCTGTGACCCCTGGGGGAACCACTGCCCTCCCCAGCCAGCCCCAGCCCTCCCATCTCCACCAGCTGGGACAAGGAGGGGTCACTTGGTCACTGGGGTCACTTCTCCACTGACCCCAGCTCCCCCAAAGCACAGCCAGATCATAGCCTCAAGTGTCTCAGCTGTTAACATAAATATTTACTGATTTTATGCCTCATTGCATTGTTGAAATCATTTTGGAGTTTAACTCACTGGTAGAAAGTTTGTGGTGCATCTGTGAGTTTTTCCTGTGGCAGCAGTGTCTGTGTTGGGTAATTCCACACTGCTGCCCGGGATGAGCTTCAGGACAAAATGATTTGCCCAATATTTGGTAAGAGCTGGTGTCTCTCCTGCCTGTGCTGCTTTTCTGCTCTTTGCCCAACATCTGTTTAAAATGTGTTCTTAAAAACAATTGGGGACACTCATTCTTCCACTTAAAGATGATTTGGGTGTGTTGTGTCTCTTGCTCAGTAATTCATACCCACAGGACTGACTCCATTTATTTATTTATTTAAAGTAAACCAAAGTTTAGTTTTACAGAGAATAAAAGCTGGGGCACATCACTAACTGAAGAGCAATAGAGGAAAGGCACTTGGCCACAGATATTTCCCATTTTTGAGGTAAAATCCATCAAACACATTCAACATTCTTAGGAATTAAGAGTAGTTTGATATCTAGAGATGTGTGAAGGCAAGGCCAACTTCCAGACAATATTTTGTGCAACGTCCATGATTTCTCTGCAAGCTAAGAAAATAATTTCATTAACTTTACAAAGGCAGGGGGAAAGGTTGTTCAGATTTTTTAGACTTTGAGGTGAGACTTTCCACCCCAAGGGCTTCTCAGGGTAAAGATGTGCCCAGAGAGAAAGCCACAGGAAAACAGTGATGTAGTTTGTAAAAAAACCTCACACTTAGTCATAATTCTCTGCACACAAGCTGTGACTGTTCTGCCCATTGAGGTACTGATGCTGTAGGCTTCAAGGATATCCCCTCTGGGGGGAGCAGCCATAGCTCCTCCAGATTTAATTCCAGGTGGACAGACATGAATATATTGCATTACTGAGCTGTCACCAGAACAGGCCATACCTGATTTCAATGAAAATACAACTAAGTCTGTATTAAATTACTAATACTACCAAGACTGGCCATGTGACCTCTTTGTCACACAGCCCTGAGATTACTTCTGCCCTCTGATGGCACAGACTCTGTGGAAGGTGGCAGATAGAACCCACAGTGAACACAATTGTGCCCTTCTGGCACTTCTTTTTTTTTTTCCAACAAGGAAGCGAGAATTTGAAGCAGATAATAAATACAATCATAACTTTCTTTAGGAAATGGAAAGTTCCACCAGTGCCAGTTTTGGTTTCTGTCTCTGGAAAAGGCTGATAAAGATTTTAATTTAAAGTGTAGCTTTTATTTGTTTTATTATTAGGATGTGAATAATGCTTGAGTAGTGCAGTCACGTTCAGCTGCTGAGCAGAGGGAACAGCCAACATTTTGCAAACTGTTTAATGTCCCAGCAATGACAAAGGCAGCCATGCATCCAGTCCTTAGTGTATGATATAAATATTTTCCTCTGCATGATTCTCCTCTTCCAGGGCACTGTGGCTTCCCACACCTCGTGGACTCCGAAATGCAACAAAGCTGCACAAAAGAGTAAAAACCCATGGTGTTAAACCAAAAACAGCCAACAAAACCACAGAAGAACAGATCAACCAGCTTACCAGCACATGTAAAATATGCTTAAACATGTGATCATGACTGATAATGAATCATCTTTCCACTAATGAGACAATTCACACCTGAGGTTAGCAAGCTCCCTAATGCCAACTGACAGTGACACTTATTTTTGCTTAATAAGTAACAAAAAGTAGCAGGAGTTATTAGTTTCTTTTTATAATATTTTCTATTAACTTGAGGTTAAAAAAGAAAGCCAAAGTATGTGGTGGAATGGTCAGCACACTGACATTTTTTTCTACAATCTCATTTGTCCTATTAGCAAAAGCAGGAACAGAAAACTTACCCTGCAGAACCACCCATCTTCTTCGTGTTGTAAAAATATTCTAAGGACCATTCAGAATGAAAAGAAAGAAAGAACAAAAATAATTAATTTTGTTTAAACCATTAGAAGCAAGTAAAGTAGTAGGTTCAAAGATAAACTCAAGTGTAAGAAACTAAATAAAGGAACTTCAAAAATGTTTTCAGGAGAGGAAATTCCCATTGTGAGCAGCCACAGCACAGGGGCGTCCTGGGACCTCAGCTCCCTGCCCTGAAGTGGGAAATGTGGCATCAGCCCCAGCTGTGGCTGGACAAACCTGAACAATCCTTGAGTGAAAAGTACTCACGTTTAGTGAGGAGCAGAGCCAAAATCAGGAGGAGCAGAAGTGCTGCACTTAAGCCAAGCCCAATGTACAGCCCACGCTCTGGGTGCTGCTGACGGGGCAGTGACACAGACGTGTTCTGTCAAACACAAGCCAAGGAGCATTAGAGGAACTGACAGCAAGAAGCCCATGCAACACCCAAAGGCTTTCTGTGTGTTTTGCAACTGTGCAGGAAAAGCACACCTGAGACCAAAACCGAATGTGAGAAACAGGCCCAGTTTCAAGCAGAATCTCTGCAATAATTGTGTGAACCGTGCTGTTAAACAGTCTTCGAGGTTTTCAGAAGATGTGAAGTTATGACAAATCCCATTTATCTAGGTTTAATAATATTTGGTGATTTTTTTTTTTTAATGAGTAAGATGTCTCATGATGTCACACCCTCCCACCTGTGCTGCAGGACTCAGCAGGACACACAGAGTTGCCTGTCTGAGCCCCTCTGCAGGGGGAGTGCAGGGCACCCCTGCGCTCTCAGGTGGCCCAAGCTCCACTCCTGCCATACCTGCAGGTTTGCAGTCACATCCAGGCAGTCTGAGGGGCCTGAGCAGGGAGTAGAGGCCTGAAAGGAAATACAGATGTTGCTAAAGCTCTTCCCCCTCAAGAAGGAAGTACTTTATGCATGCTAAGCAGGGTTCTTCCCCCTACCCCTCACCCCCCCCAATAATGAGCACATAAGCATTCTTTATAACCACTAAACACGCAGACTACAAAACAATATTCTGTTGCAATCAGACAAAAGCAGTGGAAGTGACCTGTAGGGATGACCCAGCAACCTCTCAAGTCCATCCACTCTGTCTAGGTGTGCTACAGCAAGGTTGATGCTTACAGTCTGAGGAGCTTCTGAAGCAGAATCTGATGGCCAGGTCCTTGTGACAGTGGAGGAGGATTCACTGCTGCTGCCAGGACCTGAGCAAAGGCACGACAAACACATCCATTGCACAGAGAACTGCTCTGCCTCTACAAAGAATTTGTACTGCTGACTTTGGACTCTGAACTATTGTGTGTATCAGCAGTCTGGGCTCTGCATATCATGAGGTTGGTGCCTTTAGAGGGCAGCACAAAACTCTGAATATTGAAGTTTCTGCTGTCCTTTTCAGAGCTTTGAACTCCTTCTAAGAAATACTTGGCTCTCACCGTCATCTCAACACTGGTAAGGAGTTACCAGTCGGTGCTGGAGCCAAGAAACAGTGGCCATAGGAGCATAAAACAGATTGGGTTTAAAGGGATTTAAAGCCCATATCATCCCCTGCTGTGGGCAGGAACACCTTCCACCAGACCAGGTTTCTCAATGCCCCATCCAACCTGGCCTTGAAGCAAAAAATTATGCACAAAGTAAACTTAGGTTATCAGCTGAAAACTGACAGAGATTATCTCAGGGCCTTGAAGCAGCACATGATGCAGAGTCACAGAAAGCAGGTGATACTTTTAAAGCTCCAGGCAGCTATACAGTAAACAGACTGAACAAAATGTGATATATTTGCATAAGGACCTGCAGCACATTTTGAGGTAATTTCCCAGAGCACAGCTGTTTGCAACATTTAAAATTAAGAGCTACAAATTTCTGTCTCATCTATCATCACTCCCAGTTTTTCCATGTGTTGTCAGATGACACAAAAAACTCCTGAACACAAAATCTCCTGTACCCTCTGTGCCAACCCCAGCTGGTTGCTTTTATGTTTTAAATTGTTGCCCTTATTCCAGAAGCTTTATTTTGAGGAGGACAGGATCATCAGCTTCCACTGCAGATTCTAGAGTATTTCTAAATCAGAAGCACGTGGCCAGCTGCCTTTTCCCATCTCCCTCAGTGTCACCATGCACACACTACCTTGTATTCTGAAAACTTCAAACACTGTTCCACCACCAGCTAAGAGGTCACAGGGATAAGAAAATCCCTGAGTTCTAAGATTGGAATCAGCGTTATTTGCAACTAGAATAGAAACTGTCTGAGAAAGTTTTCACTTCTTCTTCCAAAAAGGAAATGCAACTGTCGCAACACTAATTTGGAGCTGCTTAGCTGAAAAGATCCAAGATAGAGGGAGAAATACAAATGGCATCCCTGATTTTTTTTTTCCCAGAATCCAGAAAATAAGCCATTGCTACACCACGAGGTTTCTCTTGTGTAGTGGAAATTAAAGTTGTCCTTTTCAGACTGGAAAGATTCAGCTGAGTGGGTTCATGATAGAAGTTTATCCTTTTGTGAAGGGAATGGAGAAAACAAATGAGGAATACCTGAGCACTGTCTCTTCCCCTGCAACAAGGGACCTCACATTATTAAATGTGCACACAGGCCCTGGGCAGCCTCAGGGACACACCTTACACCAGGGTGGAAGAATAATTTGGCCCTGTGTCACAAAATTAACGACATTTTTCTACCATTCTCCTTAATCATCTGATGCTGACTGCTATAGGAGGCAGGACAATTTGATGTTCTCAATTTGATGTTCTTTTGAGCTAATCCAATAAAACAGTTCTGATTAAATAATGGGAACACCCAACTCCTACAAGTTGTGGTTTACCATTCATGGGACGCGTTTCTAGAAGAAATGAGGTGAGATTTTATACCACAAAAAAACCCAACAAACCAAAATAAAAGTCAAATAAAAGCAAAGCTTGCAGTACCACTAAAACATCTACTTAAGCCTCACACCCGAAAGCAGCTTCCTCCCAAATATACAAGTTCCTTCTGTTAGACTCTCTATAATACCAAGCAGAATTTAAATCCAAGTTCTGATCTTTTGTAATGTTTAATAAATTTTAGCCAAGACACTTCCATCGTCTATCATCAGTTTTTTTCTTTCCTAAGATTCCCCATTTGCAATATGGCTTGTATATGCTATTAACACTTGGATAAAAATTACCTGAGGTCTGTTCAGAGGTGTAAGTGTGAGGACTTGCAGTAGAGATCCTTGCTGATGTTAAAATATAAAACAAAATCAACACAGAATTAACCTTATTGGGCATTTGCATATTGAGAAAGAGACAGTGTTTTTATAATAAAAATTTGCTAGCAAAGCACAAGTACATTTGTCAGCCATTTGTTCTATATAGTATCACAAGCAAGGGAAAAACTAAAAATCAAAGGAAGAATGAATAAAAAGCTTTTTTATACCAATTGTGTATCCCTGGGCTTTAATCTAGAATGAAGCAAGGAAAATCAAACACAGCTTTCAATGACAAAGGTGCAGCAACAGAGCTTTGGATGAATACTTTATGCTGCCCTTCCTTTTAAATTCTTTGGTGTCTCTAAGAATGCTCCGTGAAAGCATCACATCCTTTTTTAACTGCAGTGACTGCAGTGGGATAACAACATTGCCAAAGGCAGCTTAATTGAGGTAGCACTAACAGCAGATGTGCAAGGTCCCCAAGATCACTCTTAAGGATGATTGCAGAAATAATTTCCAGCACAAGCTTTGAAGTCCAGACCCAGGAGCACATCCACCACAATGGCACTCACAGAAGCACTCCTCTGCACTCACCTTTCCTCACCACAACCTCGAGATTAATCAGCTGATCATTGAACAGCCCTGGGATCTCCACACGGCAGCAGTAGCTCCCAGAGTCTGTTTCTCTGGCGTCCACGATTGTCAGGGACACGTCCCCCTTCTGCAGGTCCCCCTTCAGCTGGTACCTGCTGCTGTGCTGCTCTGTCACCCTCCAGCCATCTGTCCAGATAATGGGCTGGGAACACTTTGAACTGGGGCACCTGTCCCGACCCCAGCACATGGAGGTGATGCTGTCTCTGTTCCAGACTCTGTAGTGGCAGGGCACGGTGATGTTCTGACCCACCTCTCCCATCACAATAAATCCTGATACTGTGGAACCTGGGGACAAAAAGACAAACAGTTACAGAGCACAGGGCAAGTGGAAGCTTCTTGTGCATCTTGCATGTCCTGAAAGCTCCCATCTCTCAAAGAACACCCAGCTTTCCTGGATCAGATTTTGCACAAATAGATATTTGTGTCCTGGCAGGACTGGTGCAGCGAGGGATAATGATCAGGCCAGGGACATGTTCAGAGAAATTACATTTTCTGCAGCCTCTGCCTATTTTCTGCACATAGGCAATGAGGTGGAGAGACCATGACTTCTCTTGAGCCAGGTGCAGTCTCTTGGCTCTTAAGTGTTTACTTTGTGTGCATTTAACCCAAGCCACACACAACAGTAATTGACTTTTCTCAAAACCACTGTATGTTTCCTTTGTGCGCATTTAACCCAAGCCACACACAAGGGAACAGTAATTGACTTTTCTCAAAACCACTGTGGGAAACTCTTCCCTCCTTTCAATGAACTAAACTCCAGGTTTCATCTGAATGATCACCGCTGAATGAATTTCCTTTTCTCTTGCCTTAAGGCAGGTTTTGCCCATTCTTATCAGAAGAAATGTTGCAGGGCTTTTCTGAGGAATATTATATATAGTCACTTTTTTTTCCACTACCTTATTCTCTCTTCTAAGTATTACATAGTTTCTAACTTGTTTGCTTCCCCATAATTTGTCACGCTTCCAGGAGGCTCTGTCACACTACTCAGGTCAAGACAGAGAGCCCTAACACGCAGTAGACCATCCATGACAGCAAAAAAATACACTAGAAATAAGTATCTGAAACCAACTTATCTTCTTCAGTATGAAAAGGAAGCTCAAAATGTAACTCATCATAAAAAGCTTTTTAAAGATCTACAAGAAATATCTGTAATATCCCTTTTCTTTCTACTGAATTTATCTTCCCACCAAGTTATTAATGTCTGTCTGTCTTTATTATTACCACTTTGCAACATGTTGTTTTCATTGCTGTTGCCCTTATCAATCTAGGACTGCTCCCTCAAGATTTAAAAAATAGAAAAGGGAAAAATTATCGATTTGCCCCAATAATATTTCATATGGCTAAAAAACGCCAGAAGCCACAGATGGTCTTTTCCCTGTCTACCTAAGCATTCATCTTCACAACGCCTGCCAAAGTGAAATGTCCTTGCTTTACATTTTCTCTAAAACAATTTAAAGGTCTCTGCTCAAATCATCATCTAAAAAAGCCCACTAGTAAGATGAGCAGCCAGCCCAAGAAGCAGCATCTTTAAAACCACCATACCCTCAGCATGTTTCTGTTTCACAAAGGAAAGAAGGCCATTAGAACTCTATTGAAAAAAAAATTGAAAAACTGAAGTTTTATTTTAACACAGAGAACTGCAGCCTCTGTGTGGCCACTCTTCCTTCTGCAAGATAAAATTCTCCTTGCCACCCTCAGAATCCCTGGTGTGTGTTACCTCCACCCACCTCCATCCAGCTGTTTCTGCCCCCTCACCTGTGAGCAGCACCAGGAGAGCCCAGTTCAGGCAGATGTGAGACAACATCCTGGCTGAAGGTAACAAACAACGCTCCTGGTCACCCTTCTCATTCAAGAAATTTCTTCTTTGTGAACTTCTGTGTTTCCTTTTTAGCACATCATCTCCAGACACAGCTGTGGGTGCCTCTCATTCCAGTCTGGGCTGTCTTGCCCGAGGTTGTGCTGTGTGCTGCAACACAGCTGCTGGGGCAGGGTACAAGTGCACGGAGCTCCTGCTGGCGGGGCTTTGACTGAGGTGACAACACATCCCAACAACCACACAAATCTGCTTCTCGTTTTTTTCCAGATCTGTTTGATGACTGTAAGTGAAACTTGACAGCAGCACTGAGCTGACACGACTGTCAGTAATCCACTGCCCCAGACTGCTTCCCACACCTGCTTTTGCCACAGCAGACACGGTTTGGATAAAAGATTTGGATAAAAGATTACATAATACACAGCAGACTGTAGGAAGTGGAAAGGGCTTGGCCAAGTAACAGATTTGTAGGATGAACTATTCAAGCTTTTCATCTTAAGTTTCTGCTTCTAGCACTCAGAGCATCTTCTGGCAAATTTTCTTTGGCTACAATCATTTGGTGGTTTTGGAAAACTGTTACACAATTGAGCCTAATGGAATGCCAGTCTTGCTTCATATTTAAAAATGCCACGTGCATTTGTGTAAACATCCAGGAGAGAGAGACTTGAAAAAGTAGTTTGGAAACTGTGACTCAAGGTTCACACTGACAAAATGCTGAAATGCAGCTTTTGAGAAATGCTGTTCCCTGGCCACTCTCCCTGTGCCTGGATCACCACACTCTCCTCAAGGATATCTTGTCTTTTTGTGCTGTTTGGACGAGAATTGCACCTGTGATCAAGGGCCACGAAATGTCCTTTGCTGAAGCAGCTAAACCACAGTGTTTTATACAGGTGAATTTAAATACTAAGGAGTTATTTACAAGTAGAATGGAAGATGCTAAAATTGGAACCTTGCCTTGCATGACTACCTTATGGGAGAACAGAGGCACCAACTGACAGGTGTTTTAAGTGAAAATCAGGAAAACCAAGGGATTAATGTAGCTGAGAAACAAACTGGTAACACACTTGTAGGAAAGAAGTGATAGAGGGATGAAGGGAGATTTCTGCATGCAGCAGCTGGAAGCAGAACTCCGTAAGAAAAGGCTTCCTCTCAGCTCCTGTGGTTTCTGAAGAAACTGCAGAGAGCTGCTAGAGGAACAAGTCTGATAAGATCCTGCAACTGCTCTGCAAAAATAGGAAAGGCAGGGCAGGCTGGCTCTGCCAGGATCCCAGGGAAGCCATTCTGGTCACACAATAAAATTATGTGAGAGCTACAGGACAACAGTTAACACGCTTGCTTTAGATTTCACCTCAAACTCAGACCATAAGGAATGCCTTGATGTAATCTGAGCTTCTGTCTGACTGTTTTCCAAGCTCCTGTGTGTTGTTTGTGCAAGAAAAAAACATCATTTCTGTAGGAATTTCTTCTTGACTCAGCATATAGAATTATAGAATGGCATACCCAAAACAAACAGCGACAAATGAAAGTACAACAGGAAAATCCAATTTTAATCTGTGCCTACCACCTTACATGATATACTTAACAAAAACAGATTTTTTTATTTTTACAAAAAAAACACAAAACTTTAAAACATTTTCATGCCCAGTCACTCACAATCTCCAAGAGGTGCACAACTTCATCTGCTTGTACAACAGCAAAACAAAATACAATGTGTACCCTCAGAACCCCTTGTCTCTCACTGTGGTGCACTAACAAAACCAGCTGTTTGCTTCACGTCATTTCATCAATAATGCTGCACATCGCTGCATCTTTGTCCAAAACCTGATCCCTCTTGCCAGCAGAGCGCTCCCTCTGCTTCTCGCTCTGCCCAGCGCAGCTGCTGCCATCATCAGCGTCCAAGGGCTCCACGCTGACCCTGAGCCCGCCCTCTGCGTGAGGCAGATCGTCGGGCAGGGAAGCCAGGCAGTTCTGGATCATCTCCACCACCCTCTCCAGGTGCTTCTGGAAGCGCTCGGCCGTCTCCAGGCGCTGCCGCTTCTGCACCTCCATCATCACCCGCAGCGTCTCCCGCGCCTGGTGCGGCCGGTACTCGTTTATCAGGTGGTGCACGTGGACAAAAAGCAGCTTCAAGTCTTCCAGTTTCTCCTCTCGCTTTATACTCCCCGGACTCCTTATCAAGATGTCCAAGAGGTCCAGGAAGTTGACCAGGATGGACATGTTGAGTTTCCTTAACTCCTTCTTGTGGTCAAACTGCATGGGGTGCAGCCGTTCGATGCCCTGGCTCTCCAGGGGCCGGATGATCAGGTCGTCACACTGGAACTGGTTCCCAAACATCATGTAGCTGTCCTTCACTGGCGGAGGAGGCTTTGGAGCCAGCCCTTTACGGATATTTTCATCAGTGTATTCTTTGATGTACTGCATTGGAGGAGGAGGAAGGGCGCTCACTTGCTGAGGTTCACCCATTTTTGCCAGATGAGATTCCTAGGGAATGACCCAAGAAACAAATGCTAACAATTTATGCCACAAGGTTATAATATAAATGTAAACAAAGACAAAATATGGGAGATGGCAGTGAGAAAATGAGCCAGAAGAGATCAATCTGTGTGCAGAACACAGGAAACTCCTGGCAAATCCACATTACCTTTTCACTAAAGTTTACTTATAGTAAAATTAACTGTATTAGAAGCATGTAGAACACTTATGTCCCTAAATATGAAAGCCAACCTGTACACTGGGCAGCCAAAGGGAGAGGGGTGACCTCCTTCCCTAGGTGAGAGCTGCTGGGCAAACCCCCCAGAATCACAGAATATCCCAAGCTGGGATACACAAGGATCTGCACAGGACATCTATCCCCCCACCGTGCCTGAGAGCATGTCCCAAAGGCTTCTTGAACTCTTTCAAGCCTGGAGCTGTGACCAAGGAGAGCCTGGGGAACCTGTGCCCGATTACATTCTGAAGAAAGAACCTTTTCCTAACATCCACGTAACCCTCCCCTCAGCTCCAGCAGTTCCCTCGGTCACAGCGGGCAGAGACAGGCGCTGCCCCTCGGGGAGAAGCTGCAGCCGGCCGTAGGATCCCCCCTCACTCTCCCTTCTCCAGGCTGACCAGACCAAAGGCCCTCAGCATCACCAAGTGCCCTCGTGCGGCCTCCCCTCTTCACCCGCGCCCACGAGAGAAACCCGGCAGGGCCCACACCGGCCGCCCTGCGCCGAGCCGGGCTCTGGGGAGGCCCAAACCCCACGGCGGGGCTCGCAGACCAGTGCTGAAGAGACAAGAGCCAAAAGCACACCCCGCCGGAGAGCACGGACCCCTCAGAGGCCTCACCAGCCCTCACCTGCGCGCTCCGCCCGCCGCGCTCCTCAGCGCCGCCGCCGCCGCTTCCGCCCGGCCGCCCTCTCCTCCCGCTCCCTATTGGTTGGCGGCCTCGTGGTGCCGCGCTCTGATTGGCTGTCGTGCAAAGCAGTCAGGCGCTCCTCCACTCAGCTCGCTCGGGGGCGGGGCCACGCGGGGGGCGTGGCTCCCGTCATGGCGGGGCTGGGGTTGCTCCGTCCTGGGGCCGCGGGGAACCCTCAGGGGTCTGTGGCCCCTCAGCGGCCTGTGGCCCTTCAGGGGTCTGTGACCCCTCGGTGTTCTGCGCCCCTCAGCGTTCTGTGACCCCTCAGGGTTCTGTGACCCCTCAGCAGTCCGTGGCCCCTCAGGGTGCGGAGCTCCCTCGCCACAAGCCGCTGTGAGGCGGCAGGACCCGCCGGGGCGGGAGGGACCAGCCCGGCGTCCCTCGGGGTGCTGGGACAGCGGGGACGGCGCTCGTCAGGGAGACACAGCATCACAGAAATCAGAAAGCACAGAAAGCACAAAAATCACAGAATCAGTTAGGTTGGAAGAGACGTCTGAGGTCCCCCTGGGAAGTGTTTGCAGCTTTCCGACAGCAGAATACGCTAAATCGGACCATAACTGTGACAAACAGTTGGGCTCCGTTGCTTTCCTTTCAGTTTTTTTCCAGGGGCAGTTGAAGTTAACGTGGTGCATGTCTGTTTTTCACCGGGTCAGGTGGAGCAGGGCTTGCTGGCATCGCTTCTGCAGGATTTTCTCTCTGAATGTCCAGCAGAGAAGGATTTTTCGGCACTTGGCCGGTTCTGTGCCGTTCTCGCTCCCTCAGCAGATGGCAGCAATGGCCTTGGTGACAGGCACCCATCACCACACACGCGGTGTCATTTACAGATTCACTCTTCCAGATCGATCATTTACTAAAAAAAAAAAATCAATCGAATGATAATTACTTTGGATCCTGTTAATTATTTCTAGGAATATGCAAAGAAGATCCAGAATCGTAGGATTTATTTGATAAGAAAGCCTGAAGTGATGTACAGAATATCTGAATATTTATATAGTCCAAACTAAACTACAGTTTTCAATTTACAATGAGTAGAATATTTAAATATTCCAAACTGAGCTACACTTTACAATTTTCAGTGAGTACAAGCCTGGCTGCAAAACAGGCTGATTTGTTTTCATTTGTAAGCAATTTGCTGAATTCAGACAAGGATGCAGTTCCATCCCGCAACTAAAACACTGCTTTGGAAAAGGTGATCTCATTCCTTCACCCCTATTCCTGCTTCCTCATCCCTCTCTCCTTTCTTCCCTCCCTGCTCCTCCAGCCCCTCACAGGCTGTGCAGCCTTTTCTTGTCACTGCTTGTGCCTCCACCATCAGGCACTGGATTGCAAAGCAAACTGATGAAACTCTAAACCCCATAAAAACATCACTTCAGGATTTTTTCTGAAGTTTTCAGCTTTTCTAATGAGTTTACACACTGTGCTGTGTGCCCTGTGAGCATCAGGGAGAGCTTTTGAGAGAGGAGCGTGCATAGGCAAAAGGAAAGGAGAAGGTTGGGAACATGGGGTGGGGAATTGTCCTCTCCATTTGTGTGACAGAAAGCTCTTATCTTGTCTCAAATCATCTTGTTACATCATACTCTGAAAGACAGGCAAGGAATAAAAATCATCACCTCCAGAGATGTGTGAGATAACACGTGTAGTAGGAGGTACCAGCACACCTTTGGTTTTATTGGACTTTCCAGACTTGATTTCACATTCTTTTTACAGGAGCTGAGCTTGATTCTCTAGTGCCTTGCACTCAGTGAACCGTGCAGCAAGGATGTAAAATGCTGTGACTTCAAACAGGAGCAGACAGAGAGAGCCAAGCTCTTGTTTTTTCCTCGATCTCTGTGATCTCCTTGACTCATTTTCTCTATGATGGTGGCCAGGACAGAGGGGATATAACATCAGTCTTGTTCTTGGTGGCAGGGCTGCTTCCCAGAAGACCTGTGGATGACCCTTTGCAGCCCACAGGGTGCTGCTGACACTGCTCCTTACACTGCTTCTAAATGAGAAATTAAGAGTGATGGGGAATGTCAAGTGCAGCACTCTACAGTTTGCTTCCTGCTGCATTCCAGCTCTTTTCTGAAATAATATCCAGTACAAGGCTACCACTGGTAATGAAGCACAATTCCTACATCATCTCCAGCTTGTGGGAATGAACTTGGACACTCCTTCAGCAGATGGTGAAGCAGTACGATATTCTCTGCCTCAAAGACTCAACATCTTAATTTACAGCTTTCGTTAAGTTTATTTTCATTTTCCTCATAACTAATTTTATGCAAATTGGCATGTTTCATTAGCAAACACTCCAGTTCTGTTAATTCAGCAGCAGTGTGTACAGTGTGTGCCATTGCAGTATGCTGTTATTTTAGCAGAACTGGAATCCAAACATTGTAGAAGCACAGTAAATATAAACCCCATTTTCAAGCACGCTCTTAGAACAGTGCTGCTCTCTTCTGTGCTACAACAGATTTCTTTCATTTCTTGCTGCTATTGCACTCTAAATAACAAATAAATAAATAAATAATAAATAAATAAATAAATTTGTGTTTTTCTCATGTTGTCTGAAAAACAACCACAAAGTCAAACTCAGTTCCAGGCTCTTGTTGGGCATAGGTTAGGGTTATATCTTATAGCCTGCTTAAGCAGTGAGCTCAGGAATTTCCTTTTTTGGTGATTGTTACAGGCTTTGTTGCAGGATATACCAGGGAGGAGGGCGAGAGAAAAGGAGCCTGTTGGGGGTGAAGGAGACTTAACCAAGCTTTATGTCTCCATCTGCTGTGGTTGATTCCCATCTCCCTGTCTCCCGCTGTGGCTTTGGGAGTAAATGGATTTGCAGTGCAGTGCTGTACAACCTTTTCTTCGTGACTCCTCAGACTAAAATATCAGCTGCAGCCTACTGGCACACCTGCTAATGTAGGAAAGGAGTTTAATGTTCCCGTCATGTGAAAACTGGGGCACAACACAGTGCAGTGCATGACAGCTGAACTCTTTCTTGCTCTACAGCCTGTTATCAAACAGATTCAAAGCTCAAAACAGAGCTTTCATGGTTATTTAGCAATAAAACCGGTATCTCACTACTGTTAGGAAACTGATAGGGCTCAAAATCCAACCATGTTTTGATGGACTCACCCAGCACTCCTTCCTATGTTCATAGTTATAGTATTGCCTCTGGAAGCAGCCCCCCGACCTGATTTTTAAGCCAGACATTAATGCTGGGTGTTTTCTTGCTCACATGCCTGTTTTAAGTGCATACTCAAACATGTAAATGAACACGTCTCCAAAAATGCATCTGCATGGCACAAAGAATAAATTCCTGTCCAGCCATCAGTGACCTGGGTATGGCAAACGTGTCAATTTGCCAGGGTAAAGCCTGGGACCTGCAGCACGTTCTGCCAGCAGTGCAAGTCCCACCTTTGTCTTCAGAGGGAGACAGAAGCAGACAGGACCCATGATAGCCAGGCACTGACACAAGGAGCTGGAACAAAACCCCAGATTGGGTATGACCCCCATGAAATGAGGTTTTCCTTTCTGCATTTTTGCCAGAGAGAGAACAGCTGAGGAAAGGAATAATTGTCCCTTCATCAGAGAAGAGCCTGTCCTAACCCTGCGCAAGTTCTCCAGTATAAAGCATGTTCTCTATGTTACTGCCAGTCCTGGGAGTAAAATCCACAAATCCACAAATGATGGATAATTCACTTCATCCTCCCAGCAGATGCTCAGAACAAGACATCCCCTTTCCCAGGGCTCCCCAACAGTTCATAGGAGAATCTTGCTGTGCTTCTGCAACTCCCTAGGTCACTGGAGCAGTGTGAGGGGCTTCAAAGGTGCAGTTGTAAGACCTGGAGGAAAGCTGGATGCAGCTGGCTGGTAAAGACCAGGCTAATTCTTCCCTTTTTCTGCAGCTTTCTGTCTTGTGCTCTGGGTCCACTGCAGCCGTGTTTATTGGGGTGATAATGAACTGCTAAAGAAGCAGGATAGCTGGGTAAACTAAATAAGAGTTTTTCACACTCTAAGCTAAGTAGCAAAATAGGGTTGAATTATGGAAGTTTAGAAGTTGAGTAAAAATCATATTTAGCAGCTGGTGTAAAGGAAGAGCTGGCACCCAGGCAGCAAACCTGACCCAAATATTGCACATGATAGAAGGATATAGGTCAATTTAAGGGAGTAAAGAGAGAGCTGCAGCCTTCCGGACTGTTTTTTTTACAGAAACAAAAATTACCTATATTTAACTTCATGAATTTCTGTGCCGCCTTCAGGACATAAACCTTGGTATCAGAGCAGGATGTGCGGGTGGGGAGATTTTCAGTCTGCAGTAATCAAAGTGAGAGCTGCATAATCTGGGTAAAACCCCTATGAAAAAAATCCAATCCATAAAATAACTTTTTTTTTTTAAATCAGAAATAAAACAGGAGGTAGCAAGGAAATAACAAAGGTGATTGAAAGAAAAAAAGTCCACTGAAGCTACAGTTGATAAGAAGAACTTTATCTACCACCTCAACTTGCCCAGCACAGAGGAGTATTTAGAGCACACAGCAGCTCAAACTTCAATCTGAATAATTTAAAATATTTCAGATTTTCCTGCATATGGACAGAAAAGTGTCAAAGGGTACATGGTAGGAAGCTTTATAAAAGCACTGGAAGCAGAGAAGATGTAGGACACTTTAAAAATTTATCATCCCTCATCATCAAGTTTAGTCTTACAGTGGTTTTAAGATATTCAGGACAGTTATGTTTAATTCTGTTCTACAAAGGATACAGAATTTCTGTACTTTGCAGTATCAAGTGCTGCCAAAATTCTTGAAAGGAACATTGAGTGTAAAAGTGTACCATCCTACAAGGTCAGGTTCCAGAAATGAGGTACTCGTGTTGGTGGGGTGTTCCAGCCCTCCTGAGGAGCCCTTTCAGTAATTTGTGTCTGGAGCTCTGCAGAGACCCTCACACATTCCAGCTCTGCAGCCAACTTGGTCCTGGGCAAGTAGTGCCTTTCTACCTATATATATATTTATTTATATATTTATATATATTTATATATCCTACTCAACTGTAGAAGGGTCCTGAAGCACTTTAATGCCTGTGGCTTTCTTTGTAAG